CTGCGTCCTTGAAAACCAAGAAATACATCCCCCCCCACACATCACCAAGTCTCCTGACACAGACCTCCTACACGCAGCCTTGCTTGCATAGTCAGCGTCTGCGAACGCCTCAATGCTCAACCCTGCTACACTACCCCTCCTGAATGTAATCCCCAAGTCACNTCATCACATCCGCAAGGGAGATATACTCCGCCTCTGTCGTGCTCAACGTAACGCACTTCTGCGTCCTTGAAAACCAAGAAATACATCCCCCCCCACACATCACCAAGTCTCCTGACACAGACCTCCTACACGCAGCCTTGCTTGCATAGTCAGCGTCTGCGAACGCCTCAATGCTCAACCCTGCTACACTACCCCTCCTGAATGTAATCCCCAAGTCACTAGTCCTTACCACATACCCCAAAATACCAAGACCTGCTCTCTAATAAATGAATTTCTTTGGAAGAGGCACAGTACTACCGTGCTACCGCTATTAGTGCATTCGCGATATCTGGCCTCGTTTGCGTGCCACCCACATCAGTGATTATATCAGCTCGCGAAAAGGCCATGATACCACTTCCTCATCCTGGTCAAACTCTGAAAGCTTCAACCCTACAGGGAGAGGAATTTCCTTCCCGTACTCTACCCCAAACTCCATCCCCAACTCTTCAGCGTACGTCTGCTGCGAGATCTTCAAAGTCCCTGCATCGCAACCCCTCTCAAAAAAACATCCAGAGTACCACCTGAAGTCACCAAGATTTTTCACCGGTACCATGGTGTTGAGGTCCCTACCACATTGGTCACACCTCTCCTCCTCTCCGATCGAAAATATGTCATCCACATGTACTTCCAGGGCCACTACCACTCTTCCCTCCTCGATCACCCGAAACACACACGTATCCGCCAGACACTGAATAAAACCCAAACAAATCAAACACCTGGCCAAGTGTGAATGCCATTGCCTTGATGCCTGCTTAAGGCCATACAAACTCTTGTTCAACTCCACAAACATACCTGACAATCTACCACACACATCCCTCTGGCAGATGCATGAAAACATCCTCATCCAAATCCGACTGGACAAATGCTTGCTTGATGTCAAAATGACTAAGAGAAAGATTTTGCTCACATGCCATCGCTGCCAACAAGCGAACGCTAGAAACCGCTACAGTCGGTGCATACGTCTCTCCACAGTCTACATGTACTCGCTGCATATCTCCTCTCGCTACTAGCCGTGATTTCACACTAACTAGTCGGCCATCCATACTCATCAGACATAAACTTCCCGTTCAACACCCACTTGGCCTTGATTACACTCTCTGGTTGCTTCATTTACTTTCTCAAAGGTACCAGCCTCCATCAGACCTCTGAACTCCCTCTCTACAGAGTTTACCCACAAGTCAGCATACTCAGAGGACACAGCCTCCCTACAAGTGTTGGGCACGCGCAAGTCGTTGGCATAGCAATGTGGCATGTCCGGTGCCACTTCCGGGGGATTCAAATCCCTCATCGTGCGATCAATGTCCTCGAGGGAGGCAAGCAAGGTGGCGCACGCAAATGGGACTTCTTGACGCAGTCCTTCTGTTTTTGTGCCCCCCGCTCTCGCCGCCCCCCCCTCGGCCCGGTGTTTGCCATCGGCGTTGGGTTGTCGTCGCTTGGCAACGACGTTGTAAAACAAGCCCCCCACTCCTCCGGTGTTTGCCATCGGGGTTGGGTTTTCGTCGCTTAGCAACGACGTTGTAAAACAAGCCCCCCACTCCTCCGGTGTTTGCCATCGGGGTTGGGTTTTCGTCGCTTAGCAACGACGTTGTAAAACAAGCCCCCCACTCCTCCGGTGTTTGCCATCGGGGTTGGGTTTTCGTCGCTTAGCAACGACGTTGTAAAACAAGCCGCCCCCCCCGGTGTTTGCTGTCGAGGAAAATTGTTACAAGGTAGTCAGGCACAGTTTACCATAGGTGCGACTGCGGCAACTAGCCTTCCGTAGACATAATACAGAAAGAAGATATGGTACTTAGCAGAGAACATGAGCACAGAGTTGTAGCGGAGATAATTTGGCAGGCGAGACTGTATTTGTTTTATTGTTCCGAACCCCGAAATTCCGGTACTCGGGCC